TACAGACGCACATACACAAATATCATACCCATTTCCCCTCGGTCCCCAACCCCCACCTCTGCCACCCTGTCTTGCCATTGCTGTTATGTCTCGCTAAACTGACATTTTCCTCTGCTAGGACTACTTAGAAGAACTGGTGCGACTTCGGGACAGACAGCTGGCAGAGGCAAACCTGCGCTTGGAAAACATGCGAATAGCCCAGCACGGGCGTGAGCAGGATGTGGAGAAGGAGTACAAGCTCATGAATGTTTGCATGTTGGAGCTGCAAGAAGAATTGTGAGTGCTTTCAAAACTTAAAAAGCAAAATATTTATAGAGTAGAAGTTTAGATAAGGTCTAGTTGCCCTTCAATAAGTTAAAATTGTTTTTCACTTTCAGCATCATGCATTGTGTTGGCCCTTAAAGACCCTGGTCACCCCTGAGGCGGTGCTACTGACTGAAGTGTCTTTAGGCAATTCCCAAAGGGGGGACATTAGTATGTTCTTATGCACGATAAAATTATAAACGGGCTAATTCATCTATGTCATGCTCATAACTGTACCTGAACTGAAACAGGGAACTGCTGCTTTTTCTTTACTAATCCTTACTGTCATCATTTTTCCTCTACTTCTTTTGTGTGTTTGTCACACTCTTGTGACCCACTATTTTGGAGATGCCTTGATAGTCGAAGCAGACTTTGTGCTGTTGAAGCTAGAGATGTGAGCAGAGTAAGCCTGATTCCCTTTAAGGCAAGGACTTCTCTTTTGACATCCACCCCTTAGCGCTTATATGACCTTATGCACTTGCAAGCACCGTAAAGTAAAAAAAAACCTACTAAAACAAAACAAACAAAGAGACCCTGGGTGTGCTGAGGAGGCCAAGTAAGTTCCGAATGGAGATCTGAACTAAACCTGTATGAATATTTTTTAAATATCACTTTTATTGATCGATGGGCAGGGGGGGAGGGAGGTTGATAACGGCATAAATTGCATTGTTCTTGGCATTCCTCTGACCCTGGGACTCCATTGTAGTACCTTTCTAGTTATACTTATCATCCTCGTTATAATTGTGTGGCTCAGTCTGATTCATCACTGTGGGTGGTTGGTGGGTGCTCTGGTGTGGTTTGCTCCTGCTTTGCTATCGAACATCTATCGTCTTTATCTCCCCTCTTTTTTTTTTTTTTTTTTGTATTTGTTACTCTCTTGTAACACCTCTAATCTTCGGCACCTCAATGACCTTATTGTGTTGCAAGGTCCGTAAAACTCTTACTAAAACTAAAACTGATTTACCATCGTCTTTTCTGAGTTACTTCCTTTTTCGCCTTTCTTTTGTTTGCCCACTCGACTCCTGCAGCTCCTCTCTTGTGACAAAGTTAAGAAGGCTCGATACTTACGGGACTTCATTTTTAACTAGAGACAAATTGAAACAACTTTTGTCACAGGCAGTAAGTAGGCCTATATAAGATAAAAGATTCGTTTTCAACTGTTGACACACACAATTACATAAGCCGTTGCCATGGAAACAGCGCCCATCTTGAAAATTGGATAGAAAGTCGTGGGTATTTTTTTGTTCTCCACCATTTCTACAGCTTTTAACTTTTTAAAATTCTGTAACTTGCAAAATTTTACAAATAAGTAGGTGCTTGCAGCTGGCTATTTTGATTTTTGATACTATACTTTAAAAGTATCCAAAATTGTTCTCACAGTTGGGTATATGGAATTTGATCTTTACAAAATATTTCTTGCATGAAAAACAATTTGTAAAAAAAGTTGTAAAGCAAATTGTAAAAAAAACTGACCTGCCCACTACAAGTACAAACCATTTCTCTAACAACTTGCCAATTTTCAAGTCTCTATGTTTGAAAAAAAGTGCGTTTTGAGAAAAACAAGGTTAAACATTGAACATGTTTAGTACACAAAGTAGAACCCAATAAAATTGATTTCTGTTAATGTTAATCGTTCAGCGATTAGTGTCAATATAATGTAGACTGAATGAGGGATCGGAAAATACCAAAAGTAAAAGGTGCTCAGAGTGAGTGAAAACCAGTCCCCGAGGCCCTAGACCCGACCTGCGAGCCCCTAAAACCATATCTGGCTAGGCCTTAATTTGTTTTATCAATAGCCTTTGTAAATTTCCTGGTCTCTGCTCTATACGGCAGAACAGATTTTACAATGATTTGTGTCAAGTTGAGTTCTAAACTCATACTTTAACAAACAAAAAATTTATTATTGGTGGTCGGCATGCACTGGTGTAATTTGCTCCTTCTTTCCCATCAAATATGTATTGTCCCTTCCTCATCTCCTTCTTTTCTTTGTATTTTACTCTCTAGTAACACCTCTGGGGGCTCTCGTGGCCTAGAGGTTAATGTGTTCACCTCTCATTCAAAGGTCCCGGGTTCGAATCCGGGTAGAGGCTGAAAAATTGTCTTTTCTAAAATTGTCTCCTTTCACCTCATTTCCTGCTCTCTATCAATGTTCTGTCGTCTGCTTTCGTCTCCACTTTCTGCCCCCACCCCCTCACCTCCTTTACCCCTTCCTCTGGGCTTCTGACTCTTTCTGCAGCCTTTCTACTGCTACTCCTTGGCTCCTTCTTACTGCTGTCTTTCAGCCACACCCCTGACCTTCTGGTAGGAGGTTTAATGTGTCCCGCGGGCTCATATGATTTTATGCAGTTGCAAGCGCCATGAAACATGAAACACTTACCAAAATTTTAAAAATAAAAAAGTAACACCACTAATCTTTAGCACTTATGTGACCTATTTGTGTTGAAAATGCTGCGAAACTCTTCGTACTAAATTTAGAAACTACACTGAATTGTTTCATCGTCAGATCCAAGTTTCAACAGCAGAACAACCCCTCTAATCCTTGGCACTAATGTGACCTATTTGTGTTGCGAGTTCCATAAAACTCTTACAAAAACTAATAACAAAACTAAAATCTTGTGATGGTCAGGTCCAAGTTACGACAGCAGAACAACAGTCTGAAGCTAGAGGTGGCTGGGCTGAGGCAGTACAAGGAACGCCTGGAGATGAAGGAGGTTCCTCTCATGGACATGGCCGGGCCTGAGAACATGCAGATGGAACACCTCCCAGAAAGGTGGTTGTTGTTATTGTTATTGTTCTTGTTATGTAAGCTGGGTAGTGGCACTCATATGACCTTATACTTATGCAGTTGTGAGCGCCGTAAAACCTCTACTAAAACAAACAAACAAGCAGGGTAGATATGGGATGCCCGTTAGTCTAGATGCAGGGTGCTTGTGTCGCACGAAAGTATCCAGTTAAATCCCGAGTTTGTAATGAGTTTTTGTTAATTATTTTGAGTTTTTTTGGAGGGGGGGTTTTTGCTGCTTTTTTTTTTTTTTTGGCCTGAGTTTTTCTCACACTTTTAAAATTCTATGGTAGATGGGACTGCATATGATACCTTGTCTTACTATCTTTTTAAATGTTTTTTTTTTAAACGTAGATCTAGGTTTTTTTTCAGATAAGCGTGAAAAACTGAAGAGGCTCTGTGTGCTTGTTGCGCTTTTAAAGACTTTTTGGCAGTTTGAGAATTGAAAGTTAATGAAGAGTAGGCTAAGTAGTCTAGCTGAAGCAAAATGCAAAAGCAATCCGAATGAAAAACTGATGAAACTGGTGGATGCGAATAATTTGGACCACTTTCAGAAACGGATATGGTTGCCTGAAAAACAATGAACCTTACTGTCTTGAAAGAAAAATAACTGTATGTGGTGCATATTGTAAGAGTGGCTGCTTTGATTCAGCATCTATATTGTGGTAGAAATGTCTTTAGAAAAGAAAAAAAAGAACAGGCATACACTGTTAGGAAAGAAAAAAGTTGACAGGGTTCTGGTGCTGCTAGGATTGAAAACATGATCTACAGGTTTAGAGCTAGAGTCATAACCTTTTTTCTTTTTATGCACATCTTACAGTGGAACTCGGATTCAACGAAAGGAGATGAATTCCCCTTTTTATTTCATCTTCTTTAAAATCATTTTTCTCCCACAACAAACTTTATTCCTGGAAACAATCCATTGCACCTGCATCATGAACCATTATTCACTTACCCGATTGCATGCGACCAATCACCGGCCTTCTTTCATACCAACTCATGCGTGTGTCGCGGTCAGATGGGCGGCCTGCACACGTGTGACTGTGTGTCCGGGTGGGGGTGGGGGGGGGGGGGCACCTTCGGTTTGGGCGTGGAATTTGGCTAATGCAAACGCATCAGTTTTTTTTTCCCCTGGCAACTAATCATTATTATAATGATAAGCTAGTCTTGACGCAGATCTACGCAATGAATTGTGTGCTTGTCTATGGAATCAAAAGTTGCCGTTTGCTTGGCTCTTCCCAGCAACACACCTTTTTGCCAAACAATGAAGATAACATGGGCGTACATTTGAACGAATCGGTCTTTTTTGCACAGCTCATAATATGCAGGCATTTCAGGCACCACTTGTTACTTCTCTTTATACATTACTTGCTCAGTGCCTGTAATTATCTACACAAAACCTCATGTTTGCTATAACGAACTACGGTGACCCATGTTAATGCCCACGACCGGTAAAATGGTCTCCCTCCATTCTAAAATGAACTGACGTGACCCCTGGGTGGGTTTATGACATATGGCGAGCAAAGAAGGGCTCAAACTTGATGACTAATCAGTGTGGCATGAGGCATGCCATTTTCACTTTAAAATCATCCTATCATGAGTATCGAGATTTACATTTATCCAATTGCCCCTCCCCTTTACCTGTCCAAAATTTATAGCTTTCCATCTCTGATCGAGTTCCCCCGCCTTTGTCGTTAGGCTCCATTAAGTTGTGACCACACCAATTACAATTCAGTCTGTCACGCAAATTCGGAAGTAGAGACAACTACTGCTATGGTCAAGGCTGAGTTCACTGTTTGATGTGATCCCGCCTGGAGTAAACTTGTAGGCCATACCTTCCCAGCGAGTGATGCAAGTTAAGGTGGAGAGCTCAGATGCAAGTGCGACGTTTGGGGAAAACAAACACGTCGATCAGTTCATACCTCTGTGTGATCCCGATTGGGGCAAACATTGTACCGTTTCAGCGAGTTTTACAACGCTTATGTGATCTCATTCAAGAAAATGGCTGATCTTTGACCCGATGGGCAGTTCAATGATCTCAACTATTCTCTCTTAATTGATTGTCTGTGCTCGCCCGAGTTTTCATTCCGTAATTATGATCTGAAATGCAGGATTTTAGCCGAATGTAGACCTTCAGGGTGAATCAGAGCAGGATCTTAGGGGTGGCTTTTGTATAGTAAAAATTCTGTTTTCTTAAAACAGCAGGATCCTAAGTGAACCGGGATCTTAAGCGATGGAATTTTAGGCAGAGACTACTGTTTAATATATAACTTTCAAAGTCTGTGATAATTTCCTGCATGTGGTTTGAGAGATGCATCTATATGTTGTATTATTGTCAGCTTTATTTTTTTTCTGCACATTGAATTTTTTATGAAAGTAATATGATATAATGTAAATTCCTTTTTTCTCTTCATGTGTTTTTACCATTCCTGTACAGTCACCAAAAATGTTCCCAAGAGGTCAATGAAGTATCATCATATCTTATCTTTACCTATTGCAGACCACAGGAGTCGTCATAAACACCCTAATTTTTGCTCATGTGAGCATTTGCAAATGCACACAGAGATGGTTCTTTCAAAGGTTCTGAAGTATAGTAACGTTTTTTCTGAAGATCTTTAAAACTGTTTTCTGGACAAGGCCAAAGCTGTGTAGAATGCTGAGCCCAGGACTGCACAGTTTGTTTCCTCACTCATTTATATATCATGGTCATTGACTTGCAGGTAAAAGCTCAGTATAGTTTTGCAACAAATTGAACCTGCTGGACCTAGTTCGCAGATCTGGGTTGGCAGTGATGTTGCAATTATGTCTTAAAGTAGCTGGAAACAACAAGCTGTGGTCATCATACTTTCATTTATCGAACTTTTATTCCCTTTATTCAAACCTCCTATAACTCAGCTTCATGTCCCTGTAGGTTAACTGCACCACCACCGCCCTCAATGATGCTGCAGCCATACTCTAAGAAAGAAGCGTCTCCGGTACCATCAGACCGACGCAGTATTCTGTCCTCTGCATCTGACCACCTCCACTTAAGGGAGGACTCGCAGAGTATGGTGCCCCTCACTGGCTCACTATCCGATGTCAACGCTGCTATTGTTGAAGCAACGACGAAGGTAAGATGAGAGACACACATAGATGGTGTAACACTCCAACCATGAGACTGGTCTCTTGAAAAATGTTCACCAGGCAAAACAAAACAAAAACGTTTATTTTTCAGTGATGAGCATAATACAAAAGTTCGACCTTAGTATTACTAAGGGCCTACTTTATAGTGGGTGTTTGATGCCTGACATGGCTCTTTCCCTAGATATCCTATGCAGTTACATGGAATTTATTGACAAGTAAAAATTTCTCCCAAAACATCTTTTTGAAAAAGTGCTGAAAATCCGCTGTCCAAAGGGTCAACGCTTCAGTTTGCCTCTATGGTTTAGATGAAATAAACGGAAGCAAATAATATTTTTTTACTGAATGTATCTTATTTTGTATTTATTATTTTAAGGTGATGTATGTATTTATTCAGAGAGAAAGGATGGGGAAAGGTATCTAATAACGGAGAACATCGTATGTTTGATTTCAGTAACCAATGTTTACGAATTCCATTTGAAAGATGAATTAGCTATAAAAGATCGATGTTTCCTTAGTTGAGTTGTTTCATACAGGATGTTGAATGTTTATAAGTGTATGAAATGAGGTTGTTTTTCTGTTCTCTGTTCGAAAGATACTTTAGGGGTTCAAGCAGGACTATGAGTAAAATATATTGATAAACTTTCTCATTTTGGGTTCATGAGTATTTTCGTCTCCTGAATGTAACAGGATGGCGCACAAATATCGGGTACCATTTGTATATATTTTTTCTTTATTCTACAGCCTATTGTCACCTCAGCTGATTCATCGTCTCGGGTGCCGGCGCCCATAGAAGAGGATGTGCCTGTGGCTGAAGAAAGAACAGATGGTAACAGTGCAGTGGATCCAAATCTTTCTCAAATTGTGATGGAAGAGAGCAAAGAAGTTCTTCAGGCAAAATCGAGCATTCCAGAGTCGAACATGGAGGGTCCATCACAAGAAAGTAATGTGGGCACTGATGGGAACACAGACCCTTCAGTTCAGAACCAAACTGGCCGGACTGGGGAAGAAGAGACCGTTTCTCCTGGCCTGAACGAAAGCTATGTCCTGACTGGAGAATCTGACGCGGAGGAAAAAGACAAATCCACTACTGTGCCATTAGTGTGTGTCACAGAAGCACAAGAGGAAGATTCTCCCACCGATTCGCCGGTGAGCATTGGGGATCCTAGCAGCGCTCCCTCACCGGAATTTGGGGATGGAGATGGTCAGGTCATGGTATTGTCTGACGGAGCTGGCAGCTCTGACAAAGAAGAAGATGTCTCGAACTCTGACCCAGAGGTCTTAGAAAGGGGCAACACCAGCAGCGATGGGAGTGATGCAGCCTGGGAAATGCTCTCCGATTCTGAACAGAAGTCGGAAGCAGAGCAGTAAATGTCTTTATTTTGTATTGTAATGTGTCAGGTACAATATCTTCTTTTTATTTTAATACTTGGTCATGTTCCAAGTCTTGTCACAGAGGACATAAATCCTGTCCATATATCACATGATCTCTATCATAGAAAGACACCAATCTCTGAAGCTTATAAAATAAATAAATAGAATGTACACTTAATTCAACATTTACTGCTTTGTAAGTCTAATTAAAAATACAGTTTTCGTGAAACCATGAAGTTGTCCTCTCTGCAGTGCTACTTCAATGTTGCAATAGAATTGAAACAGTACTTGTGCTATTGGTTTGCTTCAGAGGGGAAGTTTCTTTGACTGATTTTTCAGCAAGCATTTAGAACATTATCATTATGATTGAGCTAAAATATAAAAGAAGCTGAATTTTATAGATTTCTATCTAACCCTGAACTGCACATATTGTGTTAGATCGAAGAGCTAGAACTTAGATAGCTGCTGATGAGAAAAGTAGAAGTAAAGTAAAGAACATACTGTAATAGGAGTCAAAAAGCATGGGAAATGCTCTTTAAATCTTCCTCTGTCTAGTATGGTTCATTCAGAGGGAGATAAATTGGTAGCTCCTCTGAGAGTGGTTCTAATCAGCGCCAGATGGTTCTGTGACACCTGGCAACCTCAGAATTACAATGTTCTATCTGCTCAGTACTTAGTTTTGAGAAATTTGACATCAAAATTTTTTTAGTTTCACAATCCAACCTTTTTCGCAAGCAACGCTTTGAATAGATTGATAACGACTTTGAATAATCTTGCAATTTTGATAGAGCAGTTAGAATATTTGCTTTCTGACCTCATGGTCTTAGTTACTCAAAACGGCCAAAAATGTCAGATAGAACTTTGTAATTCTGGTGTAGTGACCTGTTTCCCATTTTTCAGACATGTCCTAACTCCCGTTTTCTTGACGTGTAAACGCTGCCGTGTTTTCCACGAACTTTTCCTTCATTAAAATCCTTTTCCAAACTGATGTCTCTTTATGTAACCAAAGTATTTAGATCATGTTTTAATTTGGTTCTTTTTTTTTTTTCTTTTTTTTTTTTGTTGCCAGAACTGAGACCTTTTTATTCTACTTTGAATCCATGGCAGTTTTTAAGTTGCCTTCTGCACATAAGTTCATATCAGTTGTTTTTTAACAGGATTTCAACATACAATCTATTTTAGTACTTTTCCAATGTCTTGCTCTCATTTTTAACTCACAACCGCCCGGAGCGGTGCTACTGACTGAAGTGTCTTTAGGCCATTCCCAAAGGGGGGACATTAACATCTCGAGTTCTTATGCACAATAGAATTGTAATTGTAAATGGGCTGATTCATCAATGTCATGCTCATAACTGTGCCTGAACTGCAAGAGGGAACTGCTGCTTTTTCTTTCCTAACTCTTACTATTGTCTTTTTTTCTCTTCTTCTTTTGTATGTTTGTCACACTCTTGTGACCCGCTATTTCCGGGGTACCTTGATAGTCGAAGCAGACTTTGTGCTGTTGAAGCTGGAGAGGTGAGCAGAGTACGTCTGATTCCCTGTAAGGACTTCTCTGTAATCATCCACCCCTTGGCATTCATATGACCTTATGCAGTTACGAAGGCCGTAAAACCTCTACTGAAACAAACAAACGATATTTAACTCACAGCAAGGATGAGTATCCTTTTGACAGTGTTCAAGAAACTGTTCTGAAAAGAAGCTTAAAATACTCTGCAATAGGATCTTTAACTATAATGTAAGTTTTGCTTCCACTAACAACATCTGTAATTGCTATTTATTAACCCTATCTGTACGTCATGTTTTACTATCATATCCATACGGCGTGGGGAACTCTGTACCATTACTTACAAAGAAGAAATTTATTCATTAATCCGATCCGTACGCTTTGCATAGCAGTCTGTCAAAATGATTTTTTGAGTAATACTGAAAGCTTCAAAGACATCTTCGTACTAGAAGTATTCTAAAATGTGAAGAATACAACCCAGGGGATGTAAACTGACCCCAGGGCGTACGGATAGGGTTAAAGGTTGTGTTTTTCCCCCCTTAATTTAGAAGCACAGTAAAAATATTTGCCAAAAGTGTTTATTATTAACAGCAATAAGAGATGGATTTTTTTTCTTTTGGCTTTGTCACAGAAAGCTAGTGTACATTTAAACAGTGATTGTAATTAATTAGCAATGAAGATTATATGGGTGTAAATACTAAATTGTAATGGTAATTTGAACTTTGGTTCATGTGAAAAGCACATAGTAATATATATCATCATTGCATCACTGTGCAGCCGTTCATACCTTTATATTTTTCTATGTAATATGTACAATCATTTTTGTAAGTGCTTCCTGTAATCAAACTTCTTAAAAATGTTGTTTATATGATAGTCACCAAGGACAGGAATATAGGATATTACATTCCAGTATCATATTCCATCAAATAGAGGTTTGGGGTGTGTTTTGGGGTTGTTGTTTTTTTATGGGGTTTTTTGCATAACATTAACAATGAACAACCTCCCAGCTATGTTTTCTTCTATTTGTGTTTTATATTTATTATTCTTAAAATAGATAGTGTCTTTTTATACTCTTTCTTCATAAGGAATGGAGGAGATATATTTAAGTTTTGTGAGTGCTTATTTAGGCCCCCACATAACAATATTTAGGGCACCTGTGGCCTAAATAAGGTTTTCCCCTCCCCAGAACATTATTTAGGCCATATATATGCTCAAACTACCCTTTTCACGCAACTGAGTTCGTTCCACTTTCATAATGGTGCACCTTTCTCATTTAGTACAGTTTTAGCTTTTCACAGTGTTAATTGCTCTGTCAATGACATGCCGAAGAAAACTTCACAAATATTTTTTAAATAGAAAGTAAATTATCTTATAATTTTTGCACTTTTAATTTCAACCCCCAACGAAATGTTTTGGGTTGGGTTTTTTTGTTGGTTTTTTTTTTTTTTTTTGGGGGGGGGGGGGGGGTTATCAAAAGAAACTTCATCATAATAATACCCTAGGATTTTCTCATCGGAGCAGTGAGTTTATCTAGTCACAGTTTGTAAAATACTTAGTGCCATTTACTGCAAAACAGGGTTTACAGTTTACTCTTGACATTGTCTTTTTTTTTCAAGGCCACATTGTCAGTCTAAAAGATTGATTTATTTTCATTATTCTTTCAGCTGTTCCATTTTATAGCTCAGGTTGATATGGACCACATATGTACACTTCAGATCATGAGAATGAGCTATGCTTTACTCTTTTTCTTTTGTTCTCTATGTAAAACATAATTGTAGAACTTATCAAAGTCATCAAGATGAAAATGAAAGTGTTCAAAAATGGGTCATTTTAATGCCCTCACAAGTTCTGTGGTGTTCACTGTATCAAATCCTGAAAGTGTTCATTCCATTCATTACAGTAATACTATACTTAATATCTCGAAATGTTGTCGTCAAAATTCTTTTTGTGAACCATTGTTCATTGTTATTTATTACCAATATATATCATACATGGCTGGGGGGGGGGGGGTTAAAAACCATAAAAACATGTTTAACTGACCGTTTAATCATTGCCATTAATTCTAGTTGTGAAAAGTATTTGGTTTCCTTGTGTATGATTCACCTCATTTCAACCTCCTATTGGTTCAAGTACAAGTATTACAACTGAATGTAAAATCAGTGCTTTTTCCATTTTATGTCCAGTTTGCAGTTTGCATTCCTAACCTAGAAGTTTCTAGACTTTTGTTGGTTTAAAATATTTTCACAACTAGTTGTTGTGCTGTGCCTTTTGTTAACAAAAACAAAACAAAAATGTTCCCACCACTCATGTTGTCGTACAAATGTATTTTTTGTAGTTGGAAAAATTAAAGTTAATAATTTTGGTTGCAAGTGACATTTCTAAGATAATAAATTTCAAAGTTACAGAAGTTCAGTTGTTCTCATTAGTGAGTGTAGTTAATTTTGAACTGGATCTAACTTCAGTTTCATTTTTAATACTCTCGCCGTAAAGCGTCTGGAAAATAAATACATATACACGATGATATTTTTTAAAATATAAGCACACCATCGTCCATGGCACAGCAGTTACACTTTTGGTGGTTGCACAAAGAGGATGAGTTTGATTCTTGTGTGGAGAGAATTTTTATCAAGTTTCCCAATTTTTCTGTGGGGAGTTTTTATCCATCTCAGCCCTGGTTTGCCCACGACAGTCGACAGTCGGGGTTGAAGCAGCCTGCGTGGCCTAATGAATGGTCTAACTTGTGTTGATGGGAGTGAAACACCATTACAATTACCTTTTTTTTTTTTTATAAACACAGTAGAAATTAAGGTATACTGTACATATAGGATGAATGATTGGATAAGATGCAGGTAGATATGAAAACCAAAATTTTGGTTTATATATATAAATCATATTTTCATCAGACAGGATGCACCAACTTTTTCACGGCATGCACCTTCATCGCCTTTGTTGGTGGATTTTTTTTCAACCAAAACGAACAAAAGATTCTTTTTTTCTAACCTGTTTTTTGTCAGCAGTCTTAGATCCACAGTGCAACACGTAGCAGCCGGTTTTATTCGGTCGGTATCTCATGGATAAGCATCATGACGACTTTGAAGCCCAGATGTTCAGGTAAAAAGATGCGTTCTGTTTTCAATGCTGTACGATAAAATAATTTTGAACATTTTTGTGATGTCTTTCAAACTTTAAAAAGAATTATTTTAATTACTGTATTTGTAATTTGATATTTTGTGGCAATCAGTTTTCCCTGAATTTTTAATAAACTTTTGTAATATCATGATTTTATGTTTACTTTACCTGCTTGTCATTTACAATAACTTATTCAAGATGCGCAGTAAATGGGACAACTCATTGTACTTTCGCCATGCCTCAGAGGAATAAAGGTATTCCTCATGAACATAATCATATAAGAATGTTTGTCACATGTGATTTAATAACATATTGCCATGAAGGAGTTTCATCAATTATGTAATTATGTTGAGATGAACTTCAAATTGAACAGATTTTAATGTTTGTATACTTTTGACAATTCTACTGAATGGTTCAGTTGATAAAATACTGGATGTGCCATGTACCATTCACAGATTTTTTTGTGGGCATTTAATTTGTATTTATTTTCGTACTTATTTTGACTACGATTGCAATATTGCGTTTTCCTATCAACATTAACGCTCAAAGATTTCTCTCAATCACAAAACTATTCCCATTTCTTCTGTATTTTAACTTAGTAATAACTGTCTTCACATCTCAAGACTGGGATCCGCTTTCTTCTCTTCAACCTCAACTGTTGAATGATTGAAGTAACATTTGTTTTAAAAAATGTGACTAGGAATAGCAGGAAATGTGTGCTGTGGAAACCTGATATTACAGGGATGGCAGGAGTAGAGAAAATGTCCTGTTATATCCGATCCCTGTTAAATCAGAAATGCAAGGAAAGTAGGCATTTGTGGACTAATCCAGCTGTACTTATTCATGGGTAGTAGCCCTTGCCACAAGTACCCACGAACAAGGGTTTAAGCACCAACTTTCTCCTTGCCTCCTTAAACCACATCGGAAGAGCTTGGTCCACAGCATCTGCATCGAGTAGTCTCATCTTCTTTCGATCCAGAGCAAACTTCCCATTGGAGTATGCTGCCACTATCTTCTCTCTATCCTTGATAATGGTGTGAATCGACCCTTGTGGAATGTCGAACTGACAATTAATCTCTTCCAGTGGAGCTTGCTTTTTGTCAACAGACTGGATTATTTCGTATTTTTTTGTCAATTGAAAGGCATTTTCTCTTGCGATTGACATCGTTGGTGACACATTACGCGTGCGTGTTGCTACATATAGCTTTCGGGCTAGATCGAGGTCTGCAGCACACCACAGCCCTCTCTCGCTTCCCAAGCTGCATGTGCTTGCAGTGGCATGGCTTGCCTGGGCTTGCTCCATCACTGCGTTACTCTCTCTCTCTCTCTCTCTCTCGCTCTGTCTCTTACTT